GTAGGTAAACCATTATTGTTTCCTTAGTTACAATACAGTAAAGTTTATTTATTTTGGAAACCATACAATTACATCCGCCACGCCGAATTGTTAAGTGCATGTTATGAATTATATCAAATAATTCATTTGTAGCATAATATAATAGTTTAGACTGAACGGTTTCGTCAACTGACATAATCAGTCGCTCTTTACCACTTATTGTAATTACATCATATTTACAAAGCATTCTATAGTACTTTGTTGTTTTTTTAGCACCCAATGTTCTTAAACATATTTCGCTTCTTTAATTGCACTTATTTGGGTATTGTATTCATTACATTTTAAAAATGACTTAATGTCTTCACATTTTGACCTGACTAATAAGTTTATAAAATTATTAAAACAAGTGCGTGCATTGTTGATATCCATGATAACACTTTTTACATAAATTTTCTACTAAACCAAATTTAACTTAAAGATGCAGTAGCAGTAAACAAACCAAGACACATTATCAACATTATGAATATTACGAGGAGCAATCCCAAATCATGATTTACAATGTATAAACATACATAATATCCACCTCATAAACTATATAAATACCATATCATTTAATAGTCCTTGTACGCGGAAGAATTGCTATAACTTAGTTGGACCACTGATGTTCTAGTGATAATATTTTAGCCAGTGCGTGCGTCAGGGAATTATAGTGCTTGAATTTATTCATTTATAGTTGTTATAATAAATTTTATCATTTATATTTTATGATCAGAAGAATAACAAAGATAAAATCAAATTAATAAATGTTACAATAAGGTTTTCCAACAACATAATAATGTGAATTCGTTATTGTAATGCATGAATTAATAAAATTAAATATGTAACAATTGTTTTAGAATTAAATGTAATATCTAATGGAGGTTTCCCACCAAACGGACAAAATAAAAACAAAACACAAACTCGTGTCCAATAAAACAAAATAGCGACTTTTCACAAACATTTTAAGGACTGGCTTGTTTTGAAACAGTTCGTTTTGTTTTTCGAGTCCCGAGTTTTTGAAACTCTAGTCTGTTTAGTGGAAACGGTCAGTTGTGTATTAATGGACTACCTCACCTCTAAAGTCACAATGGGCGGGGCTTCGAAAACCTTTCTAAACATTTCTACACTAAATACAAGATAGAACTGCAGTAAGTATAAATAAACCGTCAACAGTATGAATGTTACGAGGGGCACTCTCAAATCATGATTTTAACAATGTATAAACCTATATTTTCCTGTATTATGAAATACATATGAAAATATGAAGTAGACATCGTAGCAAGTTGCGGTAGACCGTATGATTTATAGTCATTATATTTATAGTGACTATTGACTCAAGCAAGGCCTCTGGTTGAGTTCAAAATAAACAACTGATTGAATCCTAACATGCAACATAGAAAATGAAAGGGGAGGGAATAACGATTATATTAAGATAGACAACACAAACAAGATGACTATCATATGTATGAAAATAGTATCATATGTTTTAAGGTAATGATATGTAACGATAAATGTCTTGCATTTACTATAGTAGTTAATTTCCAGTTCAAGAGTAAATTAAATATCGCTTTATTTTTATGTAAAGGAAAGAGGTTGATCATTTGTCACATTGGTAGTGAGGACGGGTTTGTTCCTGATGCCTTACAGGCTTTCGAGTCAAAAAAATCTGGCGACTATCATGAAGAGATGATTGGCGAGTCATTTGAAAAGTGATTCTTTTCGATATTAAAAAAATTAGTCAAGAATTTAGTTATTGTTTTAGACAATGCACCGTACCACTCAAGAAGAGTAGAAAAAATACAGACAACCGCGTCGAAGACAGCGGACATTCAAAATTGGCTACGATCAAAAAATATAAATTTGTAGATGAAATTTTGTATAAATAAAGTATATTGTAGATGAATAAAGTATATTGTAGATGAAGTCGGTCAGATAGCTCAGCGGGCTGTGCGGCTGCCTCTCATTCGCTTCACTGTCGAATGATTTAGTGGATGTGGGATCGAGCCAAGCTCGGTGTACAGAAAACAAAAGTCTAACGCAGCAGTTTAAAATTCTAGATGAATCTGCGGCTTAGACTAGGATATGCTGGGATCTGATCGGCCTATGGTGGAGCAGTACGGCAAGAGATAAGGGCTTGCGGCTTGGTGATACTCCTCCATAGATCCCTACCGGACAGGCGTAACGCCTAAAAAACCGGATATATTATATATATATATATATATATATATATATATATATATATTATATATTTATATATATATATATATATATATATATATATATATATATATATATATTGTAGATGAAATGGCTAAAGAAAAAAATCAAATAGTATTGAGGCTTCCGCCACACCACTGCGAGCTTAATCCAATTGAGTTAATTTGGGCGGATTTAAAAAATTATATTGCAGAGAAGAATACCACGTTTAAATTTTCAGATATGAAAAATCTTTTTCATGAAGGAATTACGAGTATTACATCTGCCAAATGGCAAAAATGTATACAGCATGTTCAGCAGAAAGTTGAACAAAAGATGTGGGATCTTCACAATATCATTGAGACTCAAGTTGAACCACTGATAATTAACATAGTTAATGAGAGCAACACGTCAGACTCTGATTCTGAGTAAAATATTAATTTACACTGTGAGTTTTTTGTTTTATTTATTAGTCAGATATGTAGAATGTTTTTATTTTTGACGAATGATTTTCTCTGACATTTGCATAGCTTTTTGTTTGAAACTTCGTTTTCCTTAAAAAACGAATGGGGTGCGACTAAGAGCTCAGTTCATGACTGGCTTTTAAACTGAGCCCCGTTTAAACCAGAAGCTCTTAGATATTAATACTCATAATTTCAACGCAATTTATGAAGTTTTTACTTCTGGCGGCACTTCTCCAAGTGCAATACCTTTTTTTTTTAATACAAAATTTTCGTTTATGAAAACATTTTAAGTTAAGGTAAGTATATCTGTATTCAAATTTACGAAATTATGTAAAATGGGATTACAATTTCTGGTAACATTTGTAATCTGGATCACGTGAATTTTATTGTTTTTCAAATAAAAACTGAAAACATAACTATTAAACAGTTACTACTTTTGATGCGAACTAACACACAATTTACTTTATAAAATAAGTGTATTTGATATTTCGACTTCGATCATTTAAGTGTCAAAACAATGTTGCAATTACTGCTTTATTATTTTTCTCAAACCATAAGTTTCTTTTTATTTTACAGTAGAGAAGCTAATTTTGAATTTCCTTGAAAATAATACTGACATTGTATATTTTATCTTCTTGTTCATAGTAAACAAATCTTTAATTGTACATACTGTTTTATTAATTTGATAGGAAATAGGAAATATGAAAGCAAAACCACATGCCTATGGAATCTTACATAGCATAGCCTGGTTTTGTTTACTTTTACTGCACGTCGAATTTGAATGTACTGTAGTAATTTCAGCAAGAGAATAGAAATGAAGTAAACAATACACATTATCTAGTATTTAGTCAAAATTTCAAGATTAATTAACAATGGGCAATGTTAACATTGGCCAGACAATGATAGAAATGTTATCAAGAATTAAAAATGATCATCAATATCCAGTTTCTATGGACAATAACGTTAATATCCAGTCATTGTATACAAAAACTAATTTCACAGGTCAGTGTGGATATTGACCATTTAATAATGTTATTGGCCAGATTTCAGTTATTGTCCATAACATATGTATTTCATTTTTTTTGTATCATAGGTATTGCAATACTCAATGGCTAAATGACCTTAATTATTCAACTGGGGCAGAATTTATGCTGCTATCTTACAATTCATTTCCTTTCATTTGTGTGTTATTCTTCAGTGACATTTTTGACCAAGATTTTTTGTGTAACCTAAAAGTTGGTTTTATTTAACTTACTAAGGTTGAAACCAACTGAAAGTAACAATATATTTTTATTAGCGTACTTATTCCATTTCCTAGCTGGCCAGTATTTCCTCTCATTGGCTTACCAATATATTTTGAATTTTGACAACTTACCTGTGATAGCTCCAAACTCCATACTAGGTTCTTTGTCGTTTACATAGAAAAATCCATCCTTAGAACCACTAGAGCAACATCTTTGACCAACAATCTGGACACTTGGTCTTACAAATTTTGAGCCTAAAATAGTTTTCAAATTTGAGTATAATATTTAGGTTATGTTATGAACAGTCACCGTAGCCCCAAGGCATCATATCCAAAAACACAATGTAACCTAATATAACATCGAAGTTAATGAATTTTACCTGTCTTACCTAATGAAAATATTTTACGAACTCCTAAACTCATTTTGAAAATTTTTAGATAGGGATTTTGAATGAGTTATGTCACTCCTAAAATACACAACACAGCAATCACGCAATGTTCAAACATAGTTGCCACATTTTGAGGAATAAACAAGAAATATAAAATTTTAAATAGTTTTTTGAAACCAAAAAAATAAAAAAGTTTTTCTGTTTAAACGTTTAACCATATAATAGAAAAACAATGTTGTTTTTTGTACTGTTGTTTTAAATAGACCAAAAAAATTCTACATAAATATTTTCAATGCTAATGTTGAATAAGATAAATGTATAAACTTTAATTAATTACCAAACTCTTTAAGGAAAGGGTTTGAAATTAACGTTTAATCTGTGAGTAAGAAATGTTCTTATTTAGTGGTTGAATAATAAAGAAACACATCGGAAATTTCCTTAAGTTTCCTTAAGAAATTGCTAACATTATTTTCAAAGAGATAAATTATATACATTTCCGGTAATATATATTTTTTATCTATGATTATATAATAAAATCATAGTGTAAATTCTTAGGTATTTATCACAAAACATATAAAAATTATTTTCGTGCACTATCATCATAGTACAATAATTAATTGACTTTCTACACCAGATTGTGCTGTCCCGAAGTTTGAAGTTTAATGAAATGAAACATCTGCTTTGGCGGTTACTTGAAAGAGGTTATAATGTTAGAATGTTAGCTTTCTGTCTTTTTTAGATTTATTTACGATGTATGTGGATGATATAAAAAACGATTTTTATGAATATTTATCAGGAAAGGTATCTTGTTTTTAACTTTTAATTATTTCTGTTATATTTCCCAATTTATAATAATTTTATTTAGGCTTAAATTCTTGATATTATGAAGATACTAATATGGCTTGTTTTTTTATTTACAGCGAATATTTCTAATGGTTCATTATGATATCGATAGTATATGTGCATGTAAAATACTCCAGTCTCTTCTTAGGTACAAGCATATTTTATACTCTTTGGCTGTAATAAAAGGCAAACAAGACATCAAAACAGCATATAGGGAAAACTGCAATGATGTTAAATATTTTATTCTATTAAATTGTGGGGGAACTATAGATATTGTAGAAGAATTAGAAGCAGAAGAGGACGTTACTTTTTTTATTTTGGACAGTCATAGGCCTACAGATCTGTGTAATATCTATAGTAATGGGCAGGTCAGAATACTTTCAACTCCAGAAGAAGATATTGCTGTTCCAGATTTTCATGATGTTTTTAGAGAAGAGGTAATTTTTTAAAATAATATGTAATATACAGAATTCGTTTTTAATTGTAATGTAGATACAACTGAGAAACAACTTGGAAATATTGAAATAATAGTTGAGTAATAGTCTTTGTGCTGATGCTATAATTTAACTTTCAAGTTCTCTTCTGTTTTTATTAATTTGTCCCTCACTTGAACTAAAATTTTATTTGGGGGAAAGTATTTATCTTAAATTGCTAATGAGTTTTTTTTGTTTTAGCCACCAAAAGTTATGAAAAGTTGTTTACACTTTCAATTCTTTAACATTAGTTGAATGTCAGAATTAAACTTAAATTTGACATTCCAAAAATACATCAAATTTTTTTGTAATTTTAATTTTTTCAAAATTGGGTAGTTTACTAACAGTTACTAATGGACATGTTACTAACAGATTTCCTGATTCCTGATTTCCTTAAATGAATATTTTTGATTCTATAATTTTCTAATTACCTCCACAGATAAAATTCTTGCAAATTAAATTACAATAATGTTAGAGAATAGACATAAACAATAAATGTGTTACTGACCATTGATAAATAGTAGTTATTTTTCAACATTCTTGCCTAACTGATGATTTCTAACTTCAATGTATAACATCAATGATATTGAATTATTCTTGTATTATTGACATAATAATTTTAATATTTAATTTTGAAATTAAATTTTTTTTTAAATTCCTGTTTCATATCTACATTATTCCTTTTTTAAATAATCCCATATTTTAAATATTTTTAGTAATAATAAAAAATATTTACAATTTGTTTACATCTAATCCTAAAATCCTACATTATTCACTGAGATGTACAATATTCATAAGGATGTTTTCTTGCACTTATCTCATGTTTCAACTACAACAGTCACTGTGAAAACACTGGAACAATGTCACTGTGAAAATATTAGTTGCAATGTGTAGGATGTGTAGGATCATCTATTATATCTTCAATAGTAGTATATATGGTATATTTTTAAAAAGCGTAGAAGCATTAAATTAACTTTTTAAAACTGGGGCAATTTAATTTTCAACATTTAATTGTTGCCACTTCATTAAAGTGTTTCTTTTTTGTATGGTTTTAGTCTGATGATGAAGAAGATGATAGTGATGATGAATCACAAGCAGCAAAAAGAAGAAGGTTGGATGAAGAACAGTTAATAAAGAGAAGGGAAAAAAGGTTGTGGGAAGAAAACCGTGATAAATTAATTTTTGAATATTCTCAATTTACATACTATGCCAGGGCAGTAAGTTAATGTGATTTTTTTTATAACCAATTTTTGCTGCACTCATTTGTTAATTTGCTTAATTTTTTCAATATTATTTTCAAAAAAATTCATTATACAGGGTGAATTATCATTGTGTCCAATTCAGGTTTGCTGAACAATTTTGTAGGTTATCTGCTACTACAATAATTATGTGGCCATAAAAAAGCACCCAGTCTGTACTAGACATAGTCTATTTAGTTGCTTCCAAGCTATTTTCTTGTGGTATTTCTGTATTATCTGCTTTACTTAATGGGAATAAACCACATTTTTAATTGAAAATACATTGATAGATAGGTAGGTGGAAATATAATAATGTATTTTCAATTAAAATTTATGTTTATTCCCATCAAATATAGTATGTAATATACTGACATCATATCATATCCTTAAACGCTGAAAAAATACGATAATAATTGTATTTGTTGAGATTTTGATTTTTTTTATGAGTGCACCAACTGCTTTGTAAACCAAACAAAATAAGATTTTGTATGTTGTAATATATTGATTAAGAAATTAGTCTAGCAGTCATATGCATTTCTGTTTGTGAATAAAATAGAAATATATACAGTACAGTCGCGTTAATCCGAACCCAAGGTCGTCAGAACGACGCGGTAGTCCGAACGGGCTCGCGCGACTCCCAGATGTCTCCCCCACGATTGAATCGACATGAATCGTAAAATTAATGTAAACATGTTACTTTGACTATCGAACAATAGACCAAATTTCTCAAATTAATACAGCAAGGAACTAGCTACAGTTTCATTTCAAAACAGTTCGGCATTGGCAAATATACAATTACAGACATTAAGAAGAAAAAACAAAAGAGAAAAGTTTGTCAGCGAAACGGAAAGCGGTCCAGGGAAAAGGAAAACCATCAAACCCTTTGAAAATTCTGAAGGTAGAAAGTGCGTTGTTCATGTGGTTCCTACAACATCGGAGAGAGCATGTTCCAGTGAGTGGTGAAATGTGTGAAAAAGCCCGTCATTTCCATCGTGAAATGTCACCAAGCTTTTAGCGCATGTAAGGGTTGGTCGGACAGCTTCAAATGAAGTCATGGAATTAGACATCTCAAAATTACTGGTGAGAAACTTTCGAGTAATGCGGACGGCATCGAACCCTTCCGACCCGCATTTGAAGAATTTGTGATTAAAGACAATTTGACACCTGAACAAATTTACAATGCAGATGAAAGTGGGTTATTGCCTTTCCAGATCCTTAAGAGACTCACAAACTTCGTTTGCTTGTTATGAGGGCGGCTAACAAGCTTCATGCATTCAAATCTGTTGATCTCCCAGTATGGTATCAAGGGCAAAAAAGTGCATGGGTGACAAAAGATTTGTTCTTGGATTGGTTCAAAACTGAATTCGTCCCTGATGTTCGTACTCTGAACCTGTCTCAGTTTTGAACAGTTTTGACATTATGTCAATATTATGTTTTGACAAATAACTTTTGAGCAAGTTTTGCAGGATGCGTTTGCCTTTCGTCTTATTTTGGGAGGAGCTTCTAAATGCTTATGCATAAACGACGATGACAGTGCCTTGCTAAAGCTTTTCATGAAATTTTTGCGATTTATAGCCTTTTACCTTTGCTGGTAACATTGTAGCTGTAGATAATTAAGCATTTAAGTAGGCAATGTTTCTCATTCCGCACCAGCCATAAGCTATATGCTAATCTTTCTTTTACAGGACATCAGAGAACACATTTGGTCTAGTGAGTCGACTCCGTCTTTTGTCTGATTATAATACATAATCATTTCCAGTTCGCCAGTAATTTCATTCATGGTAGCATCCTCATCACAATCATCCCAGCACCGACAAAATTTACAATTTCTAATTTAACTTAACTGTCACCGTGCTTCGGAGGGCACGTAAAGCCGTCGGTCCCGGTTACGAAAGTAGTCGTTAAGTCATGTTAGGGGCGCTTGCTCGACCTGGAAACCCTAACACTAGACCTTGGCCAGAAGGTTACACTAACTTTTACTTTCCTATCACAGTTATCCTCAGTAAACTATCTTGTATGTGTACCAGGTATAACCCTCCATTCTGGTTGGAGTGTTCCTTCTGTCTCATCTCCCGCATGGGCAAATGTCCACTTGTAAAGGTACTTTATTCAGTTTCACTGATTTTATTTATGATGTTACTATATCCTGATCTAACCGTTATTTTGCTCAGGTTTTCTCACTTTATAATTTCCCTTATAACTATATAAGAGAGGGATACCCAATAGGCCCTCTATAGCTGCCGTTGGTGTGCCTCCCATAGCCTTTTTGCACCTTGCTTCGTTTGAGGATGACACTTTTTTGCTGCACCTTTGACCATCATACCACCGATGCATAATATGATAATTGTTGATTTTACCACCATTATATAAATCCAATATAACATGTCTGCCTTTAAACTGCACATTTTCCCATGATTACGTCTGGCTTCCATTAACGTCGTTACCACTCTCTTGGTTATTACTTCTATCTGCTGATTCCAAGAAAGTCTCTAGTCTAATATTACTCCCAGATACTTTACTTCACTCACCAGATTTTGATGTGCACTGTTTAGGTATAGGGAATCCGATGTCTCTAAATTCCTCCTGGTAAGTTTCATGATTAGGGACTTTTGAGGGCTTATGTTAAGTCCTACATTTTCAAGTAAATTCTGTAACTGCACTATATCTCTGATCGTCAAATTAAGTTTGCTGTGGGCTAAGATGACCAGATTATCCTCTAGCCCAGAACATGATGCCTGTTGTTACTGAGACCAGCTATCAAACTATCCAGATTTCACAAGATAGGAGATAAGACTCTGCAGACAGCATCTGGCTACTTGTACTAACAATGTATACCCCATTAATGTCACGTATATCACACGGCTCCTCAACATGCCGTGTATCCATTTGTAGCTTGTTTCATATATTCTTTTTAGACGAAACGCACTTGTGATTTCTTTGTAGGTTTCGTTGTTGAATGTTTCGTCTATATCGATAAATGAACCTCACATTACCTATTGTTTTCTTATAGTCTCTTCACCATTGTAAATGTATTCACCTGACTTCTTTTGGAGTGGTGGAATACTTATATAAGGGTCGTTTCAGAGAATTTTATGAAGCCTTCACATTTCTGCAGCCTATTCTATGTATGCAATGCCTTCTCAACTATTTCCTTTTTGCCCTTCCCATTTCCTAATTATATTCAGTCAGCTTTGCGATAATCTTTACACTCACCTGATTTTTTGGCCAAATTAATTTTTGTCTGACTTCTGTCCTTTGATTGTATACTTATCGTTAGGACGTAGAAATGGCATTCATAACGTGACAAGGAAGTAGTGTATACCCAAATATTTTAAAAAATTTGTACTAACTACATCTTTTATCTAAGAATATTAACCAATAGAATTGTACCTCTAATTATAAATTTATTGAATTGTATTGTTAACTGGCTCTGTATGTTTTAAAATTTATAAATATATATATTGCACTTAATTATCAATCAATATTATGGTATTCTTTTCTTTTTTTTAGAGTGCAATACGAATTTTTGAACTTGCCTGGAAACTGAATAAAGATGACAAAGACCTACTCTGGCTGGCCATAGTAGCATTAACAGAACAAATGCTTTTAGGCAAAATAGAAAGCACCCAATATACACTAGAAATCGGTCCTTTGCAGGCACATGCGGTACGCTTACAGAACAAAACTAATGACACAGACGTTATGACATCACTTAAAATTACTTTTGAGAATGATTTGAAATTAACCCTCTACAGACATTGGTCAGTAAAAAGCAGTTTGAAGTATTCCATGTTTCCAGCGGTTAAAATGAAGCTATGGTCACTGAAGGGAGATAAAAAATTGCATGAATTGTTGGCAGACATGGGGTGAGTTATCAGGAGTATATTATTTTAATATTTATAGTATATATGAGTCATCTAGTTTTGTAATCCTGCCCTCTACAAGTTTATACTGAATATCCGATGCAAAACCCTCCAAATCTAATCTTAATTTGCATTTGAAATATTGGGTTGGTTTCAAACTCAAGCAAATCCAAACACTGTTAAAATCAAATGCCAGCAAATCTGACGCAACTAATCACAGTCAGGTAAGAAAGTGATGTCATTGCATGGCTGCTACAAAGATAGCGCAAAATGTTTGTCAGTGTTAAAACCGTTAAAACGTTTGGTTGTAATAGAAGTTTGCCTTGAAAGATTTGTGTTGTTTGAATAAAATCAAAATAGTTTTATAGTGTTGTTAAAACGTTTTAAAATCAAAATAGTTATAGAAAATTTCATGGGACAGGGCCCAAAACTAGTAACTCCTGATATGGGTCAAAAACGTGTTTCACGGCCAGCTTCTTGGAAAAGAACGGCAAAAAAATAAAATGTAAACAAACCACTCTTATTTCTAACAAAAAAAAAATGCTAAAAAGTAAAATTTTTTAGATACAAAGCACATGATTTGCCATCGTATCCATCTTGTAGAAATGACACCCAATTATATAGATGTTCAACTCTTATAATGCGAGATGTTCATCAGTTTCATCAAAATTTTTATTCACATGTAGATAAAATATGACAAGATAACTATATAATAAAATTTTGCGATACAAAAAATATAAAACGGCCAGGACAAACAGGAAATACAAAAAAAATGTTTTAACTAAATGTTTTTACCATTTCTAAGTCTAACAAAAAAATACCTGTTTGTCAACAAACCTTTCTGAATATTCTAAAAATAAAAAAAGACAGTACTCCGTTAGTTAAGGAGATATCATGATGAACAACAAATTACTTGTGAAAACAGGGGCGGTGACGGTAATTTTTTAAAGTTTGCTGAAAAACGATCTTGTGTAATGAAGTTTATTGAAAAAAGCTATTGAAGATCATTACTGCAGAGGCAAAAGTAATCGAACTTATTTATCATGTGATTTAAATATTTCTAAAATTTTTCGTCTATATTGCCAAGAAGTAGCGCGTGATTTATGCGTTGCGGTAAAAAAAAGTTACTTTCGGCATATTTTCAATACCTGCTACAATATTGGCTTCGGTTCCCCAAGAACTGATGTTTGTTCTATATGACTTCAGCTAACAGAAAAGATAAAGGTTGAAAAAAAATGCATACATACGTTACGAGCAAAAAATTTTTTTTAGTTTACTCCAAGAAGAAAAGCAAGGCCTTAAAACCATATCCTTTGACTGTCAAAAGAATCAGGATATGTCGAAGATTCCTGATCAATATGTTTATTACAGCCGGTAGTTATACACGTACAACTTTGCTGCTGTAGCACGTTCATCCCATTCGCCGGAAAATGTGTTTTTGTATACATGGACAGAAGATCAACATTCAAAAGGACCAAATGAAATAGCAAGTGCCGTTTATCACAAGCTTTGCCATACGAACTTCGATGACGATATACGCACTGTACGACTTGTTGCATATGGGTGCGGAGAACAAAATAAAAGTTACATCATGGTAACTATGTGCACTAAATGGCTTAGTGTAGATCACCTTCATTTATAAAACACTTGGGGATTATATTCCCTGTGGCTGGACACCATTCTTTCTCCAGAAGATTTCATTGCAATTTTTAAAGACCATAGAACTCCCCATATCTTGGGACAAGGTGTGACGGTGTACGACTGGAAAAAGGATTGCCAAACTGCACTTAAACCTCCTGCATAGTGGCACTTTCGATTTAATATGAGCAAAAGATTTCTATTAAGAGGTTACATCAGCGCGTCATCAATACTAATTCGAGACATGGTGGCCGCACCGTCTTTCAAATGTTCTGCGAATCTTTGGCAACAGTGCGTCGGCAGTACGTGACATTATCAAAGACGAAGGCACAATATTGTGATAATTAGAGTTCGGATCGGATTTAAAATCATAAAGAAACGCACAAAAACCTTAACGATTTTATGAAAATATTTTATTATTTATTTATTATATAAAAAATCATAAACATAAGCATATAAATTTTAACAAACCTTTTTACGAAAATTAGTATAAAACATCTTAGTTAAAGAATTAGTAAGTACCTATCATAAATTTAATAATAATATACAGTGTGTTTCAACGAAAATTTGGCCGTCCCAGAAACTCAGAAACCAAGAGTTTGTCAAAATTAAATAATTTACGAAATAACTGAAAATAGTTTTTGCTAATTTATTGGTTGAACATAAGTAATAACAAAAAACATTTTCAAACAAATTTCATCAAATTAACCAATTTAATGTTCGAAATTCTCCTTCACCTGTTCACCTCCTGTGACCTCCATATAATAATACAGTATATTTTCAAAGCCCCTTTGTACATTTGCAAATACCTCCGATCTGAATAATCGGCATTCTGTCACAATCCTTTGTCGGAACTCGGTAAGATCTACAGACGGAGTGGCATATATTTTTGATATTAGGTGAAAGGCAAAAGATCCGGTTATCTGGCCGACTACTCCATTGGACCCCTTCTGCCAATCCAAAGCCCTGGAAAACGTTGTTGATTTAAAAATTGTCTTACGCGTATATCATAATGTGGGGATGCCTTGTCCTGTTAGGAAGTCATTTTATCGTTTACAAGATTATCATCAGGTTCCAATGTGTCAGTGAGCAGCAAATCAATAACGTCTTCTAACAAATTTAAATAAGTTGTTCCGTTGGGATTGCCTTAAAAAACTAATAGTCCAATAACGTGATTCCCTAAAATTCCAACCCATACATTTAGTTTCCGAGGTGTTTGTGTATGTGTCTCAATGAATAAATGAGGATTACTGATATTCAAATAACGACAATTATGTCTATTGTCTTCACCATTTAACATAAAAGTACACTCGTCGGAAAAACACGTACAATCGATGTTGGTTGTTTCTATTATTTCACTAAATTCTTCACAAATTTGACGTCGATGATCAGGATCATCTTCGTTTAATTGATGAAGTAATCGTATTTTATAAGGATAAAATTTATAGTATTTTATAATTCGATAAACACTAGATGCTCATAGACCAGATGCACGAGGTAGTTGTCTGATAGACTGTCGATTATCCATTTGTCAATGACCCAATACCGCCACTTCAACTGCTGCAGTTGAAATGCATTAATTCTGTATTAATTAATATTGTATACATCTAAACAAATAAAGTACCTGTAAAGGAAATACTACCCTGAAAATTGCTCGCTCGATCCGAGCTCTACTTATAAGTTTTAACGTATATATCAAACAGATTAGCCGTAAGAAATGAAGTACAGATTGATTCATAGCATCAATTCTGACGTATAGCAAATAAAAAATATAAGTTCGGAAATATTGTCGCCAATGAATATCTATCTACCTGAAAAATTGGCATTTTTACTTTAGTGACGATTTCTGTAACCTAATACAGATTTATTACCAATTTCATTTTCATGGGAAACAACTTTTCACACCTTTTATTTATGACAACAGTAGATTGCTTATACTTACACTTACATTATTAAAATTTGTGGTGGTTCTAATTTCGATTTTCGAATCGTTTTAGCACGGTTCTTACTGGACCTTTTCTTGGAAGGCGTGACTTTAATTTTCGCTTGTGAAATTTTTCCCATTTTCCAAAATACTTATATTTCTAGAATAAAAAATCCCCCTAAGACTATATACTCGCATTAGAATTTGAAATATTTTTACGTAAAATAGACTTTTAAAACCCACAATTAATAATAATATATTTTTTTCAAATAGTCCGACAACTCAGTTCTATTACCCAAATATAATAAATTAATTTTAAACAAACACTACTTCACTATGAATCAAAACTCGAATTTAAATATCTTGAAAACAATACACTACTGCATGAACAGATATCGATACAGATAACTGAGCAGAATCGTGCTATCACTTAGACATAAAACAGACGTAGAAGTGCAAATGCGATAGCGGTGACTATTTCTCTATGTTGCCAACTCACTCAGTTAAGTTCGATTTCTTGTTATAGTTAATTGATTTTGGTTGATTTTAGTAATTCCAATGTGACACAAAATCTAGGCTTGGGATAAAAAAGTTTATTTGAAGAAAGTGTATTTTTTTCTTTTTCTTAATGGCGGTAAAAACTCGTTTTTGTAATATTTTATTTAGTTATAGAGTAATTTTCACTTACTAACATATTTCTTAAATTGGGCTTCGTACCGCCATTCTTTACCATATCACTTATATGTGTGCCAAATATCTCGTCAAAATATTTAAAATTAAAGCTGCAATCTTGGAACGCGTTTTCCGTCTTGATGACGCGCTGATGTAGCCTCTTAAGACGTGGAAAAAGCAAAGTTGTAACTATTAGAGGGAAATAGTCTTCTAAATGTGATCTAGGGGAATATAAGTATGTATTTCCAAAAGGAAAATTTGTTAAAAGTATGTTCCAATCTACAATTACAGGTGGTGTACGTCCTAAAAAAGAAAAGCTTGAGGACGTAAAGAGCTTATTGGAAAAACATTGGGGGCAAAATTGGCAACAATTTGAAACTCTAAAATACTTAGATATTTTTAAAAAATATGATATAAATGTTTTTGTCACAATACAACCAATTATAGGATAAAACAACAATGTTTGTTTTTGTGTTTCACTGGATATAATTCAAACTCTGGCAATTCCATACACGTTAGTTTCAAAACCCGACAAATCCGTAAGTAAAAATGTTTGTTTTTGTGTTTCACTGGATATAATTCAAACTCTGGCAATTCCATACACATTAGTTTCAAAACCCGACAAATCCGTAAGTAAAAATCAAAAATCGACAAGTCTATTTTGTTTTTTAAATTGCATTTAAAAATGCGTATTTCCATAATAATTACAAATTGTTTTTAATTCAGAAACATATCTTTTAACTAATAAAAAAATGAAAATGCCCTTAAGCTTAACTTCTATACCAAAACAGTTTTTTTTTAATTTCCCAACATTTGACCTCACTGGATTTGTCGGGTTTTGAAACTAGACGAGTCATATGATATTCAGAATTAGTAACGTGGATCCATAGACCTAAACGATCGGAGTAGATTCAAAAACAATTAAAATAAGCAAAGGGAAATAAATAGGATGCATACTCAGAAAGATTACTAGAATTATTATGAGATAATTCATATATTTTAATATGCCAAGAAAAAGAAGAGTGGACATACCACAAAATACATAAAAAGAAAGGAGTTTATATAAAGGATTTAGAAAGAGAAAATAAAATTAGGAAATTGTTACGGCTTTTAGCAAAAAGCAGATATCGGCAATTAAAGTTAATAAAGTAGCAAACAAATGATATTTTTCAAAAAAATATTTATTTTCAAAATAATTTTTTTAAGTGCCTTTTCGAATAAAATAAATGACACTGATTACGAATCTGCAATAATTATTGTGATCCGCCTTTTAAGCTCCGAAATATCAGATGAAAGGTTGATCACTTTGTATCAAAAATTGCATAAATATAGCCGCGTGAACTATCATGTTCGTATTTGTTTATTTAAAATTATAAAGCTTGTCGTTCATTATTGTTTAGTGTAATCATCGTTGTTGAGATATCGGCTGAAAGTTTGATCGTTTTGTATTAAACATTGTGTAAATTGCGTTTACCGATATCTCCTCGTCTTGTTGTGCCATACACTTAGAAGCGCGTAGTTTCAGTTGCTGCCTTATCAACTTTGTAGGTAAGGTTATTCTTTTTGGCTAGTCGGAAAACGTATGTTTCTAAGCCAGGAATGCAATTTCCTACCCTGACCTCTTCTACTCTCAATCTTGCCCGTAAGTAAGTTTTTAAGAGGAAGTACCTTGATCCACGCAAGACATATCCCAAATAAGAAACCTTGCGATGTTTCACCACGCTCAATAGTACTCAGCCTACTCCAGCCCGTCGCAACACCTCCTCGCAAAATCCACATTTTTCATGCTTAAATTCGATTTATTGATTTTACTTTTATGGACCATGTTTCTGCACCAATATAATAATATTGGCGAATCATAAAACTTAACCACAAGAAGTCTAAGATTTCATGAAACTTCTGACTAATTGAGATATTTCTTGAATTCGACAAAAGCTGCCTTAGCCATACCTACTATTATTTTAATTCCTATTCTCACTCCCACTTACGTAATAGATTGGATTCAAGTATAGACATATAATACAAGATAGACTGATCGTTGCAATAGCAATCATTTCCCTCAGTGCGACAGAGAAAACTGACGCAAAGCAGCTGCATCTCTTTCTAATGGGTCGGATTTATGGACCACGTGACCTTGGTCACTTAGGTCACGTGGTCAATAAATCTGGCAAATTAGAAAGAGATGCCTGGATTGCTTTGTGTTAGTTTTCTCTGTCGCACTGGTGGAATATGACTGTATTGCAGCAATCAGTCTATTTGTGTTATATGTCTATGGATCCAAGATACTTAAATGTTTTAACTCTTTCAAATTCTTGCGGAATCAGTTGATGCTAAGTCACCCATTCTTGTATCTGTTATGATCAAGGTGATAAGAATAAACTAATTCTAACTAACCAAATTAAAACTAGAAGCTAAAAACTACCAACTTTAATGAATAAAAGGAAGCCATTCAAAAAACTAACATAACCGTATGTTTATACATTGACTTCGATTTTGACATTACGTAATTAGAATAAGATGTACAGATAAAAAAAAATAATAAAGAACATAAAAGAAAAGTAAAAATAAAGAACTTCGTGGCAATTTTGATCGATTCAACACACTAGAGAAAATAAAATATATTGCTTTTATATGCTCTTTTTAAGTGTTGTAAAAAATAATTTTTGTTGCATATTTTTTTAGGTTTCCTCTTATTCAAAGTCAGCAAGCATTCAAAAGTATGGACTTACAACTAAGGAAAGAGTTTCATGAATCACTAGAAAAACTTTCAGAAAAGTATGGCTTGCAGGATATAGTTTATGCATCATTTGTACTTCAGTATGGATACAGAAATAGATACTGCGCGGCTGATATAGTGTTTGCCTTATTAGCTATACTAGAATCATCAGTAAGTGTTTAATAAATACATAGAACATTTGAACCGTCAAATTTCCAGAGGCGAGTAATATTTATTATAAACATATTATAAACATACTATTTTACAAATATTGAAACATGATTGATTACGTGTTGATCAAGCATGGTCTAGGATATAATAGAAAACTGCCGGTATTGCTTCGTTCGTTAACCATGATATAATAAGATTTTTATGAGACGAGTCATCAGCCGACGTTAAATGCTGGACAGTATTAAAAAACAAAAAAAAATATAAACCAAAATTTTATAGAGAGTAATACCAAGAAAAAGAAAGACTTACAATATGTTTAATAGTTACTTGGCCAACCGGTTTCGAGCATCAAAATTGGCTGCTCATAACGGAGCTATGTTAGCGGAGACCTTGTCAGGTCTCCGCTAACGTTACTTAACAGATAACTGTACAAGATATGTGATCAGTTGTGAGCATATTATACACTTAACTAGGGCAAGAAAGTGTCTATTGGGAAAACATTTTCCTCCTCACATCCATAATAGCGCTACAGGCCTTGTTGGTCCTTAGCTTCTAAAAACTTGATTATTTCCCTCCATTTTTTCGGCTCCTTACTGTCTCTCTCCAATTTCTCACGCCTATTTCTGACAATACTTACTTTACTGCTTCCAACCATTTCTTCTTTGGGCGTCCTGTTCTTTTTTCCCATTCCCCCTCTCCTTCAGTATTGTTTTAACATTTCGATTCTCTGGCATTCGGATAATGTGACCAAGCCATCCAACTCTTTGGGCTCGAATTTTTGCCGTAATTGCCGGTTTCGATACGTTCTCATTATTTCTTTATTTGTTTGTCTTCCCCAAATATTCTCTGCCATCTTTCTTCCTTGGAAGATTTTTTTGAGCACCTTTCTTTCCCAGATCTCTACTTTCTTTTCTTCCTGCTGGTTCACAATGCACATTTAACTGACATACATCACTGTGGGTCTGATAACTGTCTCGTAGACTCGCAGTTCAGCTGTTGTTGATACATTTTTTTTTTTTAAACTTTGAGGGTGTACAAGGCAACTATCGAACACGGTGATTAATTTAATCTTGCCCAAGTACTTTCGATCAATAGATCATCTTCAGGGGCATTTCGTCAATTGTGGCCTATCCGACATAGTAGAATGTCATAAATGTAAAATCTGGACATAACAATACAAAATACACTACACTAAGACAAACAAACACTTTAAAATTTATATGGAGAAGCTACATATTGTGAAGAAGCCGGAGACAGCTTCTTCACAATATGTAGCTTCTCCATATAAATTTTAAAGTGTTTGTTTGTCTTAGTGTAGTGTATTTTGTATTGTTATGTCCAGATTTTACATTTATGACATTCTACTATGTCGGATAGGCCACAATTGACGAAATGCCCCTGAAGATGATCTATTGATCGAAAGTACTTGGGCAAGATTAAATTAATCACCGTGTTCGATAGTTGCCTTGTACACCCTCAAAGTTTAATTATTCGAACATTCAACCTTATATTGATACATTTTTTGCTTTCAGTAATGAATTTAGTGAGCTTATCGCTCTGCTTCCCTTCATTAATCATTTGTCTATCTCTTTTTCTTCTTTTCCTGTGTTTGTTATGTCTCCCCCCATTTCCATATATTGCCTTTTTGTTTGGTTTAATATTAATCTGTATCGTTTCGCTTCTTCTTCAAATTTCTGGAAAACTTTTTCTAAATGTTTTTTTGTTCTCGCTAGTATCACTACATCGTCCGCATACGCTATACACTGTTCCCTGCTATTGAGATAGTCTTGTTGGTGCTCGTATTTGATCTTCTTTGTTTTCCGTTGTTTTAAACCTCTATTCGCTGTGAACTGTCTTAAAATGTAATTAAAAATCCTTTGTAATAGGTATATATTTAAGGCCCAAACGGGCTAAGTTAAAAAGATAAAACGTTTTCGGAAACCATGTTCCATCATCAGTGTCCTAGAAAATAGTTAACCACTTAATTAAAAAGAACATAGGTTAAAATTTTGACTAAGGTTAATGAAAAATGTGGTTAATACTTACTAGGAGTACATGAATGTAGCCACCAAGATTAAATATATGGGTAAAAACCCGTTAACAGATGTTTAATTACATTTAGTTTTAAAAATATGTTATAATGATTTAAGATTATAGAGTTACCGATGGATTAGGTAACATGGCGACATATGACTCCACGTTGAAGTTGCTAGTCCTGAGACGGTATGTCTTCGAGGACTGTATGAGTGCAACTGATTGGCAATGACATTTGATGACAATATTGTTAAGTTATGACGGAAATTATCACAGAGCAGTCAATGTAGCTGTATGTTTCTACTTAAGACAAAAGCCAACGTTCTTTAAAATTGTGAAAATTAAGTAAACTAATATAACAGTATCAACCATCAATGTTGTAGTTTTAAATTTATGTAAATAAGATGATATAAGGGAGCAAAAATTGTATGGTTATAGTTAGGCAACCAACTATACATGTATGTAGCAATGTAATATAGAAAAATTTTTATTATATGGCCCTTTATGTTTCTTAAACATTTGGTACCCAGAAAATATAAACTAGACACATGTGGAAGGTTGAATTTTAGAAAATTTTGATGTTAATGGTTGGATCTAAATGTATTTATTTATAATTGGAAGTGTTCTTGTATGAATAAAATAAAACTGTTTTAGTATATGTTCATGTGTTATTTAACTTCTAACTCAAATATAGAGGCCCTGTATGTCAGAAGCAACATTTGGTACCTGGCAAATGTGAAAATTTTTGAGTTATAAGTTCATGAACATAAATGCATGGTGGTGGTACAACAAGGTGGTAACAGACTAAAAGGTGTGGAAGTTTTATTGTATTAGCTATTATATGTAATGAACGAAAGATTTTTTGATGGTTGGGACATGATTATGTAGTATGTTGATAGTGTGATAATCTACTTATAACTTAAGAAAGGTCCTATCTGTCATAAGGCAACACTAGGCACAAAAGAAATAAAAAGGATAAGTTATAAGTTAGGTTTGTTGTAGGTATAAGTTGTCTTAAATTGTGATGATGGTATGGTTGGCTTTGTTGATATTAAGTGAAACGAAAAAGTTTTTGTAGTGTCATCTTTGCAGATGAATAAGTTATGTAATTTGATATTATTCATAATGGATATGAGGATCTTAGGTGTTCGTTCAACTATTGTGTGAAATAAACAAAATTTGATGGTTGGGATATGGTTATGTATTATGTTTATCATATAGAACTCAAATTATAACTTAAAAAAGCCCTATCTGTCATAAGACAACACTAGGTACAAGAAAAAATTTGATGAATAAGTTATAAGTTGAATGTGTCTGCGTTGTGTACTGGACTTAACTTGAAATTGAAAGATTAATAGATGGCTATGTTCAAATTGAGTAAGAAAGAAATTTATGGTTGTTTTGAATGAATGGTGGGATACTGAACCACTAAGAAAGCTGAGATCACCAGAAGTCCGCTACCAAACCCTAAGGGAATTGTGTGAAAATGTAAAAAAAAGACTGAAATGTTTGTTAGAAAGGGTTGCTGAATAGTTTAGGATTTTTGGGGGGCTAACAAGAAGCATGGACAGTAATAGATATAGAGGGTTAGACTTGAAGTTTGGTTTAATGAAGAGAAGAGGGGGGAGATGGAGAGTATGTTATGTTGAAGTAAAAGTTTTGGAATGGACTGAAGTTTGATGATAAATGTGAATTTTAGTTAAGAGGTAAATTAGGGGTGAAAATTATGAGAATAGTTGGCGATGAAGAGGGAGGAAGTCTCGATTGAAGGATACATGACGATTGACACAATTTGGGCTTTTTTGTTTTTCTTTTAAAATTTCAAGATCTTTATATAAATCTAATTTAAGGAAGTTTTTTTGGGGGATGTTGTGGATAAGTGAAACGTCTTCTGGGATATTGAGGGTATGGTTGTGTTCTTTGAGATGTTGAAATCTTAAAACGTGAAATCTTAAATCATTATAACATATTTTTAAAACTAAATTTAATAAACTAAATGTAACATCTGTTAACGGGTTTTTACCCATATATTTAATCTTGGTGGCTACATTCATGTACTCCTAGTAAGTATTAACCACATTTTTCATTAACCTAAGTGGTTAACTATTTTCTAGGACACTGATGATGGAACATGGTTTCCGAAAACGTTTTGTCTTTTTAACTTAGCCCGTTTGGGCCTTAAATATATACCTATTACAAAGGATTTTTTATTAAATTTTTAATACATGGTATACAGCCAACTACAGGAACGTAGATTCCTTGTGAATGTCTTAAAATGCTTTCTTCGCAAAAGCAAATACTTATTTGATCAGTAGTTGTTCTTCCTGGTCTAAAACCTCCTTGGTATTATCCAATCACTTTGTTGTCTTATTTTATTAATCTTTCCTAATAATTTTTGCAAGTATGTTATAGACTACTTCTAATAGTGCTATACCTCTATAGTTTTCGTACTCCATTTTGTCTTCTTTTTTATAGATAAGACAAGTAAAAGCGGTATTCCATTGTTTCGACATTTCTTCCTTTTGCCAAAACATTAGTGTCAAGTGAAATATCCTTTCCTTCAATCTTTTGCCACCTTATTTAAAAAGCTCAGCTGGGATACCAGTTCCTCCTGCATTATTGTTATTTTTTAGGTCTCTTTGTATTTATTTGATTTCATTCAAAGTTGGTTCCTCGCACGTCCCTTTTTTATCTTCTTCCAATTCTCATTTCCCTCAAGTTCCTCTTGTTGGTCTGTATTTAATAGATCTTCGAAATTTTCAGCACATCTGTTTAATTTTTCTGTTGTTTCACCTAGAACTAAGCCTTCTTTCTTTCTGCAGTACTGTGGATTATTCTTTGTAGTTTCTCTGGATTTTTTAACTTCTTGGTAGAAATTCGTTACCTCTTTGTTTATGTAGGCTTCTTCTATGTTTTTCAATTGCTTTTTTAGCTGTTCTCTTTTCTTTTTTCTGCAAATTCTTTTCACTTCCCTTCTTCTTGCCACATAGTTTTCGATCGCATTTAGGGTATTTTCTTTATCCTACCGTCTTTTTATACATCCTCTTCCTACACACTTTTCCGCTGCTTCCGACATGGGTGTCTGTATGGTCTGCCACTCTTCTTCTATTATTATTTCTTCCTCTAGACTGTTTACAACCTGCTTCTCTTGAATGTGCTCTAATTGGTAATTTAATCTATCTCTAACAGGTTTGGAATTATTATTGGTAGTTCTTGTTATAGTTTTGTTATTATTAGTATATGGTCACTGTTGGTATCTGCCTCTCTGTAACTCCTGCAATCGATTATTGCCTTATCATGTTTGCTTTCAATTAGGATGTGATCTATCTGATTTTTTATTTTTCCATCGGGAGAGGTCCATGTTACTTTATGAATGTCTTTGTGATCAAACCTTGTGCTAGCTATCTTCATTTTCTTCTCTGTGGCACATTCTATTAACTTTTTCCCGTTTTTATTTGATTCCTTATGTAAACTTCGTCCCCTTGTTATTCTTCTATATATTTCGTCTTTTCCGACTTTCGCATTCATGTCACCAATGATTATCTTCTAAAACTCTGTTTTAGTTTCTAAATCTTTATCTTAATTCGGCGCATGTACATTAATGAAGCTGTCGAACAGGCAGCTAAACTGAAATAGAAATGGGCTGGACATAACGAACGTCTTAAGGATGGCCGATGGAATAAAGAAATCGGGAATTGGCGGCCATATGAAGCCAAAATACCACGAGGAAGACCGCAAATGCGCTGGAGCTACGATATTAAAAGAACTGCAGGGCCAATGTGGAAACATATTACAAACAACAGAGGTGAATGGCGAGAATTAGGTGAGGCCTATATTCGGCAATCCAAACAGAGAGAAAAAACATTAATGATACTTATCTTTTTATACTTTTCTCTTACTCTCAAGTAACATATTCGTCTGATATAGTTTACATAATATTTAATTACAATATTGTCTACAACTGCTTTGTTTACTTTCTCCGACACCATGAATCCCACTCCAAAATATCTCTTGGTTCCCCCACTCTTGAGCAGTGTGTTCTTTCCTATTTTTATTATTTCATTTCCCAGTTTTTTCGTTTCTTGCAGGGCAAGGATATCTATTGTATATTTTTCCATAATTTGGTCTAGGTTTCTTAAAGCTCCCTGCTCATAAGTACCTCTCACATTCCAAGTCCCAATTTTTATTATGTCATAATTGATGGATTCGACCATTACTTGATGGAAATTCATTTTATGTAACAATAAAACACTGAAAACTTTGTTTTCAAACTTCCTCAAAATTTATTTTAAATATTATCACTACAGCTGTTTCGGCTGATTGCCTTTCTCAAGTGATCTATTTTGGCATGGGTTTACAAATTTATAGTCTCTAATGAAAGAGGTTGAGGAGGGGAGAACTATTTGTCTCAAGTTGGTCATTCAGAATTATATCTGTGTTTTTTAATTTGTTGATTTCCATAGATTCTAACAAAGATAGCTTAAGGCCTTTATTTTGAATGTGAAGAATTTTTAATTTGTCATTAAAAGAATGATTATGATCTAGAAGGTGAAGTGCGTATGTCAGAATCTGTTTTTCTATTCTTGAAAGCCCTTTTATGTTCTGCTATTCGTTTATCAAAGTTTCTACCAGTTTGACCGATTTAAGTTTTTGGGCAGTCGCCACATTGAAGTTTGTACACACCACTATTTAAGTATTTTTTAGTTTGGCTCTAGTTATTTTTAATATATTTGCCTAGGTTGTTATTTGTTCGGAAAGCTGGTGTTATTCCTTTCTTTTTTGTGTTTGGCATTTTTTGTTGTTATTTTGCCTGTATATGTAATCGAGCAGAAGGTACTGGGTTTTTTCTCTGGTGGTGGAAATACTAATTTCAGGGCTTTCTTGTGTAGTTTTTGATTTAACATTTTATTAATTGTTTGTTCGTTGTACCGTTGTTTACTGCTATTTGTTCTGTTTGAGTCAGAATTAAATATAATTAAACAAATAGCAGTAAACAACGGATACAACGAACAAACAATTAATAAAATGTTAAATCAAAAACTACACAAGAAAGCCCTGAAATTAGTATTTCCACCACCATAGAAAAAATTCAGTACCTTCTGCTCGATTACATATACAGGCAAAATAACAACAAAAATTGCCAAACACATAAAAAAGAAAGGAATAACACCAGCTTTCCGAACAAATAACAACCTAGGCAAATATATTAAAAATAACAAGAGCCAAAATAAAAAACACTTAAATGTGGCGACTGCCCAAAAACTTACATCGGTCAAACTGGTAGAAACTTTGATAAACGAATAGCAGAACATAAAAGTTCAATAATAGAAAAACAGATTCGACATACACACTTCACCTTCTAGATCATAATCATTTTTTTAATGACAAATTTAAAATTCTTCACATTCAAAATAAAGGCCTTAAGCTATCTTTATTAGAATCTATGGAAATCAACAAATTAAAAAACACAGATATAATTCTGAATGACCAACTTGAGACAAACAGTTCTCCCCTCCTCAACCTATTTCATTAGAGACTATAAATTTGTAAACCCAAGCCAAAATTGATCACTTGAGAAAGGCAATCAGCCGAAACAGCTGTAGTGATAATATTTAAAATAAATTTTGTGGAAGTTTGAAAACAAAGTTTTCAGTGTTTTATTGTTACATTTTATTATGTCCTTGGATTTTTGCCTTTCGTTTGTGCCAATTTTTCTGTTTTCCATGGTTGTATTCTTTTGTCTCGTTGTTTCGGTATCATATCTCCCCGGTTATTTTTCTTCTAGTTTTTTCGCATTTTTCCTTTGGTATTTTCTTTTAGTTGTTGTTTTTCTTCATCCCATATCCATTCTTTCCCATTCACGAACAACTTCTTATAGCCTATTTTTGTCTGTTTTCCTTTACTTTTTTCTTCCTTTGCTATTTTAACTATTTCTTTTTGTGTTTCTTTTTCTTTTGCTGTCAGATTATTATTTATGTAAATGCGATCTTCAACTTACTTTTCCTATTTATTATCTCAATTTTATCCGTGAAAGTTTCTGTTTCTATGGCATAGACTGTTTCTCCTATTTTTGTTGCGTTCCTTAGTTTTATTTGCGCACACAGGTCTTGTGATATGAATGTTTCCATGCTTTCTTTTAGTTTCTTATCATCATTTGTATCTATTATTAAACCCGATATAATAAAACTTTTCTTTTTACTTGTTTTCTCCAGTTGTTCCCTTTTGTCTTCTAATGGTTTCACGTGGTTTTTATTTTTTTATTTGCTTTATTTCATTCATCATTTCTTTATTTTTTCCATTAGTTGTTGCATCATTTTAATAATGACATCCTCTTTCTCTTCCTTTCTCTCCGTGTCACTTTTAGAAGGTGTACGCTTTGTCATTTTACTTCTTCTAAAATATTCATCCTGGTCTCTTCTCTTGTGTTTCGTTATTGTTCCCTTGTCACTTCCTGTATTAATAAATCTTTTTTATTACAATAGCAATTATTACTTATTAATTAATTTAATTCTAATCTAACTTAAATCTAATTTATTCTAAGGCCGGATCTGGGTTTTTGTAATAAAATTATGTGGCTTTTGTTTACTTCCTTATCTGCCAAAAAACGCCTAGGAATACCTAAGCGGGTCGACCTCTCGAACTTAAAACATTCACCAAAACCAGCTTTTTAATCTTTCACGTAACTATTTCTTTGCTCAAAACTTGTTAAAATTATTAAAATAGTTCTACCTTACTTGTCTGATGGTATTTTCTTTATTTACTACTGTATATCTTATCACCTGTATGCACTAACTTTTAACAGTTATTTTTGAAACTCTGTTGAATTTGCTAACTTGTAATTCCCCAATTATCGAAGTTTATTACGAAGAGAAAATTATCGGAACTACTGTTCTCACTGCAGGACATTTATTTACTAAAATAAATATATAAATAAATAAATGAAAGAACACAAAAATAGCTTTGCATTTACTAATTTTAGTCTATTTTTAGCCTAGAGATAAGAAACCCGAAGAATTGTTTAACTTAACCTTAGATTGTCTATCCAGAACGAAAAGGGAGATTCTTAGCAGTGCAATAGATAGAGCTAAAGACATTTCCAAAACGTTATTTAAAACAGTTCAAAGTGCTTTAGATATGAAACAGATTATAACAGCTGGACCTTTCGTATATTTTATCATACAAGAGGTAGGTTTCTTTTAATTTTATTTAAAAAAATTTGTTTTCGAAATTTTCATGTTTTTTTTGGCCCAGTATTGGGCTACGTCTAACACTTTCTGCTTGTTAAGTAATCGAGATCGAAGGTACTACTTTGGACAGGACAGTAAAGGTCGATTTATAAACTTTACCTTGGCGTTGGCACTGGCGTTGACTGTTGACCTTGGCGTTGGCGATCATAGACTGCATTTATAAATTTTCGGTTATTATGAAGGCCGATCCTCGCGATTCTGGGCATAGGTAAATTCCAATGTAAAAGTTTATATCAAATAACGCAAAAACTATGGCAGATATTGAGATGATTCTTTTTTTATATGGAAGGTCTAAAAAAGTTCTAGTGCACTATTTGGTTGTAAATTAATAAATTGTTTAAACAATTTTTTTTTCAAATATTTTTGGTTAAAATAAACGTAAATTTTTTTTTTTAAATAGGGCACTACAGAATTTGACCCACTTTCCGAATCTGTTTTTATTTTTAACATAAAGTGTAACACAAAGCAGCTATTTGATATAAACTTTTAAAAAATTTCAAATTTCTGCTAAATGCAATTTTCTCTCCGTCAGCACAGGCTGTCCTTGTCGGTAGCTTCTGGATTCTCGCCAGATAGGTAAAACCCTCGGAGGATGATAAATAAAATTGAATAACATTATTAGGGCTTATTCCGACTTATGACAAACCAGTGTGTTTATTGTATTTAAAATAGGAAATCTTATATAAATAAGCAGTAAGTACCTATAATTTTATTAAATTTTTATATGAATAGAAATATTTTCTGTTGATTAGTGACATTTTCCTTCTAAATATTTATACTGTTTTTATAATAATACTATTGTTTCAGTATTTGCTTATATAATAATAATTTATTATATAGAAACAGCGTAGAGTTTTGGTCAATCATCCAGTACATTTTTTTTTGTATTTCAATCAGAATTATTATTTTCTTTTCTTCTTTACATGAGCTCAGAGTAATAACCAAATATTTTGCAGTGTTTGAATATGAAATTTAATTAGTTATATTTATTGGTTAGCAACCTACCAATCGTAAAATCAAATACTGCTCAAAGAAACAATGTACAGTCTCGGAACCGGATTGATACTATGAAGACGACTACGGCAAGAAATAAGGACAAGCGAAAAACATCCAAAACCCAGATGAGAATTACTTGGAATATCAGATCACTCAACTCAAGGGACCAAGAAATAACCTAAGTGTTGAAAGAGAAAGAAATAGACATTTGTGCTCTACAGCAAACAAAAAATAAAGGAAAAGGTCAATCAAAATTAGGTGAAAACATACTAATCTACAGTGGAGTAGCAAAAGAAAACAGGGCCAAAGAAGGTGTAGCCTTACTAATACACCAAAGGTATCAAAATTACATCATCATCATCATCATTGGCTTTTACAACTCTTCGTGAGTTTTTGCCGCGTTTACTATTGCCTTCCATTGATTCCGATCCTGTGCTATTATTTCCCATGGCCTTACTTCCATCTTCTCCAGGTCTTCCCTGACTGCGTCTTTCTACCTTTTTGTAGGCCTTCCTGTCGATCTTCTACCATCTGGTCTTTCCCAAAACACATTGCTAATCAGTCTGTCGTCATCACTCCGTACCACGTGGCCTATCCATCATAATCTATTGGCTTTTATGTATCTTACGATGTTTCCTTTCCCGAAGAGAGTCTCTATTTCATTGTTGTATCTGCTCCTCCATTCATTTGTCACGCTGTCCCTGCAAGGACCATATATAATTCGCAGGATCAAAATTACATCAAAGAGTGTCAATACATATCAGAAAGAATAGTAACATCAAAGATAAGAATGGAGAAGGAAAACCTGAACATTATCGGAGTATACGGCCCAGAAAATAATAAGCCTCAAACAACAAGGGAAGTGTTTTACGACCAATTACAACAAGTAGTAGATCAAGTCAAAGAAAAGATGATAATTCACAGCTAATTTGATTATAATAATTAAGGAACCTCATTGATGCCATGTTAAGGAATGGGATTTGTATTTTTTGTTAAAAAATTTGCACAAACATTGTACCTTTACAGGACCCTCTACGAATTTTTAAAAATGTAGTTCAAATGGTGACTAGGAAGAACCTACAAATCCATACCGAACAAGCAATTTCAAACTAATAAAATTTTCTATATCTCCGGATCTACTCAATGGATTTTGATCATTCTTTTTTTAATTTGTATGTAATTTCTACGTTAGAAATTAGTAATTTGTTTATATATTAATTAATTAATAAATAGTCTAGTTTGATTAAACAATTCGTGCAAAAACAGTTTTCTTCCAAAAATCTATTTTTTTAATACTAGTATCAATAATCATAGAAACAATCGCGTTTTTTGCATTAAATTGTCAATAATTAAAAAACAGCTCCAAATTCAAGGCAAGAAACAAGTAGGTTTTCTTCCTATAGGTCTACAATAACTAAAAAAGTTGTCAGCGACCTGGATTATTGAGTGTCACGAACATGGTCTATTTTTTGCTTATTTCCCTGGAGTATATATTTGATTAACATATGTGTAATTTCTTTGTCGCTTCCTCGCTGGTTTTGCATATTGCTATGATAGCAATATCTTCGGTAAATGTTGCAATTGTATATTTTCTAGGACAATAATATAACACGTATACAAAAGGTAAAGACACTTCTTTGTGGCAGCCCTGCTGTAATATCTTTCAATTCCGTGTATGTTTCTTGCTGTTTAATTCTGAAATATCTTTCCAAGATGCAGGAGTCAAATATTTGAGAGTATCGTTTTGGTAAATGCAGTCTTAGTTTATAGTTATGGCGTATTTGCCATACTTTATCATATACCTGAGTCACATTCTAAATTATTGATATAAGGATGAATGCTCGAATAAATGAACTTTAAAAAATGAAGGCAAATTTCGAGCACAAATTTAATAATCAAATCTTGCCCAAGTACTTTCGCTTTCTACAGCATCATCAGGGCATCTGCGCTTGCTGGATAGCCCAAATTTGACGAAGTAAGTCTAAAATGTTAATCACAAAAAACTTTTATCATCCATTAACTTCGAGTTTTTTATCGAAGTTTATTAATTTTCTTCATTTAAAAAAAACTTTTCTTGGCTTATTTCAGATGCCCCTGATGATGCTGTAGAAAGCGAAAGTACTTGGGCAAGATTTGATTATTAAATTTGTGCCCGATATTTGCCTTAATTTTTCAACGTACATCCTAAAATGTCCATCATATTATCCTTCATGATCTATATTTCACATCCATATAAATAGTTATACAGTATATTTTATCATCATCATCAACATCAATGGCGCTACAACTCTTCGTAAGTCTTTGCCGCGGTTACTATTGCCTTTCATGTTTGTCGGGCCTGTGCCAGTAATTCCCATTGTCGCACTCCCATTTTCTCTAGATCTAGGAGTATATTTACATATAACAAATTAAATACTTAGTTGAAATAAGTACTCAGTATACATCTAAGTTTCATAAATGCTCCTCATAAATCTCATAAATCTAAACTTTCGTAATCCGTTCTTTGTTGACAATTAGTTGCATAGGGCCGACGTTTACTAACCACAAGCACACAAGTAAATTATCTTATTTCTTTCATTTGACAATAATAATTTTCTGTTAGATTAGCATTGTAAGAAGTAAATTAGTCTCTTACTGAATGATAATAAACAACACATCAAACTTATTCTGAAACTATTTCTTGTGTCATGTTATATTTTATTAGATTTTGGTGTAATAAATCACAACCTATCAAATTCAATATCAAAAATCAAAATTGGAAATGATAGCGTGAATAAATTATTCCTTCCTTCAAGAAATTTTAAAAAGAACTGATTCCTATTACTATCCAGTGCAAGGACAGTTATTTTGTTATTTATATCGAATAGAGAATACTGTTAGTTTGCGGTATGGACCTCAAAAAATATTTTATTCGAAAAGATTGATAAATATATGGAACTGTGGGAAAATATGCTATAAAAATTTCAAGATTTTTATTATAATTTTTATTTGAAACACCTTCTGAAGAAACATTAGACATAATTCTATATTTCTATAGTTTCATTTTATCAATTTTAATGATCGTGATACTAATTAGATATGATTTTTATTATAACTTTTATTTGAAACACTTTCTCAAGAAACATTAGACATAATTCTATATTTATATCGTTTCATTTTATCAATTTTAATGGTCGTGATACTAATCAAATTTTTATGATATATAATAATAATCTTTTTTTATAATTTTTATTTTCCGTAAACTTAAATCTACGTTGGCTAGGAAAAATTGGCTGTCTGAATTTTAATTCAGACAGCCAATTTTTCCTTAAAAAAATAACAAATAAATTATGTATATACATTTGTTACATTGTAAATTTATGAATAGATTATATTACTTTGATCTGTTATTGTATTTACTCAAAACACCTCTAAAGAGATTTATGGTTTTATTGTAAGCCAAAACCTGTCACTGCAGGGGTTGTCCCGGTGTATAATCGGCTCGAGTAAAAGATGAACGCATTTTTGACCTGGGCTTGAGAGAGATATCTAAAAGTTTAGAATATTACTTCATAAACAGATTTTGTTTTCGTAAAGAAAGAAATTTTTGAAATAGAGATAGCAAACTGAAATTTACCGTTAGGATTTTCGAGGATGAGCCTTAAGATCACATCGAAATTTCTAATCTTACATTTTTGATTTAGTATTACTGACAATTGGACTAATCCAGATGGGCTGAACGCATTGCTAGGATGTCAGATCACGAATACACGAAGAGATTAACCTTTTAAAGATTCTAAGGTTTAGAAGATGGAGGGAAGTTGGAAGGAATCGACAGGAGTGGCGAATTCTTTGTGAGCAGGCCAAGGTCCACAACGCATTGTCAAGCCACTTATGATGATGATTACTGACAATTAACTTTGCTTGAAAATTAATACAAGGTAAAATGAAAATGCATGGACT